TGGAGAATGCTGTGCTGACCAACTCAGGCTGCCTGACGTGTGTTGACCAGTTAATCATCTATTGTGTCGACCATTGTGTTGCTCAATCTATTGTGCTGTCCATCTGTGTTGGCCATCCCCTACCATCGGACTGTCCGGCTGTGGCCAACGACTACCACCGCGGACATTAATTCTATTCCCGGAAGGACCAATATCATCCACCCCTGGATCCGCTTTCTGTCGTCCATTGTCCTGAAATTGTATGCTTTAATATCTTTGTCAACATATCGAGTGCTGCTGTTAATTTGCATAATTTGCAACTCTCTCAGCACCTTAATTTTCCAGCACTTTAAATTGCTATCTTGTACTGTATTGGTCCATTACCCTACTCAACTTAGCACTTTAACCCAGTGTTCTAGTCTTCTAGCACTTAAATCAGTAGTCCTCCATGACGCACCATGACCCATTAAGTTGGTCCGCCCCAGGAGGCTTATGGATCCGGATGGATTCCTGACGGCTCTTGGGGAATTTCCCGCCGCCTCGGTTGGTGATCCTGTCGATGCCCTGGTCGCTCTCTGGAATGGGGAGTTGGCTAGGGCAATAGACACGATCGCTCCAGAACGTCCCCTCTCAAGTAGCCGAGCTAAACCAGCTCCTTGGTTCACTGAGGAGCTGGCAGCATTGAAGCGAAAGAAGAGGAAACTAGAGAGCGTGTGGCGTTCGAATCCGAGCGAGCCAAATTGAACACGGTTTGTGTCCTTTTTAAGGGCATATGCCGCGGCAATAAAAGCCGCAAAGAAGACTTTCTTTGCGGCTACTATTGCGTCTGCAAAGAACCGTCCGGCTGAACTGTTCCGAGTTGTCAGAGGCCTTTTAAAACCCACCATGCAGGATGGGTGCCCTGATGACTCGGCAGTTCGCTGTGAAGCCTTTGCTCATTTCTTTGCAGACAAAGTCGCTTTGATCCGCTCTGGTCTGGATACCATATTAACGGCAGTCTCTGAGGATGTAGCACGAGCATTTGCTTGTCCGGTTTTGATGGATTCATTTCAATTGGTTCAATCCGAGGATGTGGACAAGGTGC